TTACCCCTCGGATATATTAGATAACCGAGGTGAAAATGTGGTATACCCATCGGCGAAATGACAAAACTGAGGGGACATGTGTTTTTGCCATTTCAGAATTTCAAAAAGGTATCCCTGGGGATTAAACCCATGATTTTTTCACATATTCGTCGATTATTCTAAAATCGAGAGGTAAAGTGTGAATTTTTCACGACGCCCTTCGTTACCTCGCCCTTGTAGTCGGGGTTAAATGGATTTTGCGTCTAACGTTAAATGTGATTTTTCTAGTAGTGAACCTGTCTCTGATATGCCATTATGAGGATCTGACAAGTAACCTGCATCAGCATAACTTGTTAATTCGAACTTGAATGCTTTGAAATAAAACAAACCCATGTCCATGGTACCTCTAAGATAACGAAGTATATGTTTGACTTTGTTCCAATATCTTCGTGTAGATGAAGAACTATATCTTGCTAATAGATTGAGAGCAAATGATATATTAGGATGTGTATAATTAGCTAGGTAAATCAGTGCTTCAATCGCACCAAGATATGGTACTTTAGGACCAAATAATTCTGCATCCTTTTATTGAGGTCTAAAGGGATCTTTCCCCACATTCAATGATCTAACAACCGTTTCAGTGGAGAATGGATGAAATTTGTCCATATAGAAGCATTTTAACACTCTTTCTATATAACATTCTTGATGTACAAATACTTCATTGCCCAAATTCTCAATTTGTAAACCTAAACATAGTTTTTTCTTTTCTAGGTCCTTCATCTCAAACTCTTTCTTTAAGAAATTTATTTCAGAAGCTCTTGTGAGTTCCAATAATATTCACGTCATCCACATAGACAATTATTATAATAAATTCTTTTATAAATCTTTTCATAAAAATACAAGGACAAATGGATTTATTTGTATATCTCTCTCTTATCAAATATTCACTGAGATGATTATACCATATGTGGCTATATTGTTTTAGCCCATAGAGAAACTTATTCAATTTGATAGAGTAGCTTTCTCGAGATCTAGAATTATATGCATCTGGTATATTGAATCCTTTAGATAGTTAAATGTAAATTTCAATGTCAAGTGAGTCATAAAAATAAGTTGTTACAACATCCATCATGTGCAAATTAAGTCCTTCACATGCTACAAGACTTATTATATATCAAAAAGTACATGCATCCATTACAGGTGAATATGTCTCATCAAAATCAATTTCAGGTCTTTGTGAAAATCCTTGAGCTACAAGTAGAGCTTTGTATCTCAAGATTTCATTATTTTCATTTCATTTTCTCACAAAAAAACCCATTTTTATCCAATTGGATTCACGCCTTGAGGTGATCGGATTACATGTCCAAAAATTTGTTTCTTATAAAAAGAGTTTAATTCAGCTTCAATTGCATCATTTCATTTTAGCCAATCCTCGTTTTGTCTACAATTTTTAATAGACGTTGGCTCATGATCCTCGTTCTCATTTATCACATGTAGCACTATATTGTATACAAAAATATCATCAATGTCGACTTCATGTTGGTTCCATTTTATGCCATTATGGACATGGTTTATCGAGATCTCTTTATTTTCGTGAATTTTAGGTACCCGGCCGACCTATTCTAGAGCTGAAATGTTTATTATACCTGAATATTCTCATAATTTTTCTATATCCTCGCTCAGACCATCTTTATTCTTAGTTCTCTTTCTTGTTCGAGGCACGCTTTTTGGATTAGTGAATGCATTTGGTAATTGATTTGCTAATATTTGCGAGTGAATCATCTTTTAAATTTCTAGTTCACATTGTTTTGTTCAAGGATTAAGATGAGACAATGATAACTCATTACAACTGACCTCTTTTTCCAGCTTCTTAATCTCCCTCCTAATGCTGGAAAATTTGATTAATCAAAATGACAATAAGCAAATCGAGCAGTGAATAAATCCCCTGTTGTTGGTTCAAGGTACTTTATGGTAGACGGAGAGTCATATCCAACATATATTCTCATTCTCCTTTGAGGGTCCATCTTGGTGCGACGTGGTAGGGAAATTAGAACATAAACCACACATCAAAAAAGTTCTTAGATGAGAAATATTAGGCTCTTTACTAAAAACTAAATGTAAAGAGGAAAATGTGCGATAACTTGTTGGCCTGATGCAAATCAATGTTGCGGCATGCAAAGTTGCATGTCCCCAAGTAGAAATTAGGAGTTTCCATCTCATGATAAGTGGTTATGAAATTAATTTAATACGTTTATTAAATGATTTTGTTAGTCCATTTTGTATATGAACATGTGCTACTGAATGTTTAATGTCAATTTCAATAGACATACAATACTCATTAAACGCCTGAGATGAAATATTTGCAGCATTATCAAGATGTATTTTGTTGACACGATAACCAAGGAAATGAGCTCTTATTTGAATTAGTTGAGCTAGAAATCTCGCAAACACTTGGTTGTGAGTTGACAACAAACAAACATGTGACCTTTATGCATCAATTAAAACCATAAAATATATAAATGGTCCACATGATGAGTGTATTGGCCCACAAATATCACCATGTATACGCAATAAAAATTGATAAGTTCATTTCTAATTTCTGTTGGTAATGGCTAATTTATTAACTTTCCTTGTGTGCGCGCGCGCACGTGTGTGTGTGTGAGAGTGATTGCCTTAGTATTTTTGAAATTACTCTAATACCTTTGACATAAAATTGACCACTCAAACAAGCATTAAATGTAGGACCATACGAGTTTTCACAATTCATCTCTTTCAAAACTTCAATTCCCTTTTTAGAATCAACATTGACTTAACAGTTTATTTGAAATTTGAGTCCTCTGATTGACAATACTTGAGGTATCTTCTTGATTGGATTCCCATCATCATAGATTGGTGGATAGTTAATATATAGAAGATTTCACTGAACGTTGTTTGTCATAAAGTGTTGTCATCATCAAAAGAAGTAGGATTATCTAACAGTTGAAATCACTTGTACCTCTACAATACATAGGTCCATATTTTTCCTCTTTTTGATGATGACAAGATATCTATCAAGAAGGTGGTAGAAACAAAAAAGATATATGGATAATAATTGAAATGATTAAACTCCCCCTCACAAATACAAAAAATATACTCTACTCTGATATAGAAGTGAAAATTAAGAACAAAGAAAGAGAAAATTAAGAAGAACACAAGACCATACTTCTTCCCATGGATGACAACATCCAACTTTGAGATTTGATTTTTAGCAGAAGTATTTTTTCTAACCTTCCCTTTTTCTTAAAAAGAACTCTTACAAACCAATAGGTAAGTTTTAGAGGACTTCTTCCAATTGATTCTTTCTTGGACCAAACTCAATTTCTTTTTAAAGCTCTCTAACTCGAGATACAATTTTGCAATCTATTCTTTTCTTGCTGAGATACTTTCTTCACACATGAAATCATTTCTCCTTAAAAAATTTTGGACAATGTTTTATGATTTGACAATTTGTCTTTGATGTTGCAAATCATTCCTTCTTCATTTTTATTGATTTATATTTCTTTTAACATTCCTTGATTAATCTGATTATGTATGTCTTTATCTAATTAAAAAAAATTATAAACCAAGGAAGTATCAAAGCTTCTCCATTATAGACATTTTACATCATATCCGAAAATTCATTGCACAATGATTCAATAGTATCATTGAAGATGATGTCGTTGACAAAAAATTTACACAAGTAAAATTTTATGCTTGATTTTCTTAAAAGAGAGTTGCATTAACCTTCTTCTTTGAAATTTTTTTTTAAGAAAAAACTTGCTCAAACATTTGTACCAAACCCGATGGACTTGTTAGAACCATTAACAATTTGAAGACATGACTAAGAAAAAAAGAGTTTAAAAAATCAGGAAATTAATCAACATATACTATGAAAACGCTCTTTACATCTATTTAGAAGAGTTTTAAAATTCAAAATGCATAAAAAAAAATAATAGCACCCTTATGGCCTCTTATCTAATTACGGAACATTCTCTCCCTACTAAATATTAATCAATTCGCTTACCAAATCCGATGGACTTGTTAGAACCATTTTCAATTTGAAGACATGACTAAGAAAAGAAGAGTTTAAAAAATCAGAAAATTAATCAACATATACTATGAACACACTCTTTACATCTATTTAGAAGAGTTTTAAAATTTAAAATGCATAAAAAAAAATAATAGCACCCTTATGGCCTCTTATCTAATTACAGAACATTCTCTCCCTACTAAATATTAATCAATTCCCTTAATTGTATATTAACTTATGTGTGTCCTATAAATAGAACCTATTTTATATTGTAGAGTTACACTTAAAAACAAGACAATACAAAATTATATTCTTTATTCTCTAATCATTTACTCTTTCTTCTTATTTCATAACATAAATCAAATAATGAAGTTCAACCCATTATTCTAAACTAACATCAAAACAACCACATAATCAAGAGTATTCTATATTTCAAGCTACCATCAAAACAAGCTCATATATAACCAAGAATATTTTGCATTAAGACAAGTAAATATTGATATAAATGAAACAAGTTTTAGAATGGGTTTGGGATGATTACTAGTATCCTTGTTACTTCACTCGTCTTTATTTTTTGAAATCTAAAAATATCCAAATCTAAATCCGAATCCAATTAATGCATTTTCTCCCATCAAATTAGAGACAATACAATTATAGTAATACTTGCTAATCTATATAATACTTAAGCTTATTAATTACATTAAAATTAACTCTAGACACAACCATTACTACCAATAGCTCAGATATTTACAATAGCACATCAGAAAAATATTTAAGCAATTTAAAACACAATGACTCAATAATTGTAAAATGAAAAATCAATAAACAACTGACTTGAGTTCACAATCTTCACAAACTCAAAAACTTTTTACTGTAGTAATATAGTAAGGCTCACAACCAAAGAACTTATGCTAAAAATGAATATAAATGTGACTTTTGACCAAGTAAAAAAAATGACATCTTCCATTCATTCTTATAATATAACACAAACACATTTGTTATGCGTTGCTTCACTTGCTCCTTTCTTATCTGTTCCAAGAGAAAACATACAGAAGATTAGCGTCGCAGGTTCGAATCTGCGTCTTTGTAAATTGATGTCTCTGCACAACTATCAATTAAAGTGGTCTAACAGGACGAACACATTAATAATAGCAAACCTTTTTCCGAATTTGGTGGTTGAACCACCACAAGCATTGTTGTAACTCCGCCAGGAAGATTGCACAATGGACTCTGACATTCCTCTACTGTTTTGTTGTTCTCCAATATTTTTCCAGCACAAATTAACTTCACATCTTTTATAGTTCTTGGTCGATACTCTTTATCTTCATAAAAACAAACACAAGTTTAGAATTTTCACATATATACAACTAAGCCGCATCATAAAGATTCTCTTCATTTTTCAAAAGTTCGAACTCATAACAAAAACTCATTAACCACTTGAGCGCAACCACTTGATCGTTGCATTGAAAGCGACGCAAACACATTGAATGAAAAACTATACACTGAAATGGAATCATCTTAACTTCTTCTATACCTAATTATATCCTTTCTATCAATCAATAGTTCTAAGTTTCCATGTTATTCAATTCATGAAACTACATGTTCCTCTTAATTTGCAGTACATCATTCATTACAACAGAAACAAATTGGTATCTTAGTTCATGAGAAGACAAACAAAACGGTGAAAAATCGTTTATCATATAAGTGCTTATGTATAAACTTTTTTCCTAAGCTATTTTGAAGAGCTTATAAAAATAAGCTGAGAACAGCTTATTAGCTTATGTACATGTGGTAAACTGTTTCCACAAATCAACGGTCTCATATTAACTCACAAGTACTTATATCAGCAATGAGCTCAAATAAATCAATCCAAACCGAATAAACTCTAACTAAGATCACAAAACTAACCTTTTGGCCATTGGCTAAGAATACTTTCTTTCAGCGTCGCAATGCTAGTAGCAGCAGCAAAACTTTTCGGGCCGATATCCGATCCATCGCTCAATCGAAACTTAATCTCTAACTGACCTTGTTTCCCAGCCATAGTATATCAACTTCAATTATTAAGCAAAATTTGACGCAATTAAACACGGTTGAGTCCTCTCAACTCAATCACATTCAACACCAAAACAAGATGCAAAATCTGAAACAGCAAAACAAACAAGTAAGAAAAACTAATGACAATTCTACAACGGTCAATCGCTCCGAACGGATTCGAGTTTCGTCTCTCGAAATTACACAGTGAAATTCAAATCAATAAGCTAACACCTCCTGTATGAATAAAATGACTGAAATCCATCAAAAAATTATGACAGAATCACAGAATTCAATCATCAAACTCACAGAAGGAATCTTACAGAGCTAAAAGACAACCAATACAATATTGAAATGAACATCAATTAAATCAAAAAATCATATAGAAATTAGAATTCTCAACTGGGTAATCTACAAAATCAAACAAGAATTTCAACAAAAACAAAAAAATTGAACCTTGAGAGATGTTTTCTGTTGCAATGATAGAAATCATATGAAATTCAGAAGGGTTTTAAAGAGTCTTTCCCTATCTCAAAGTTTGCCAAATGTTCTAAAGGTTGTAACTTTTTTCACATGGAAATGGAACATATATGTTATTCTTATCACAACATAGAATCAAAAGGGTCAACTTTTTGAGTGTCAGTTACTGTTCCAAAAACGTGAATCAGACAAACGCGTCTACGTATGTGTCTGTCATCATTTTTTCACATTCTTAACATTTTCAAAAATGTTACCATCCTACCTTTTCATCTATGTAACATAGTCACGTGACCAACGTTCCTTACAAAGTTTTAGTAATAAGTTTTTTTTACCATTTTTTTTAGAAAGTGAAAGACTAATATTTTTATTTGATATAGGTCATAAATTTTTTTTAAAGATATTTTCAAATTTATTTTATATAGGAAAGGAAAAGTATAATCAATATTATATTTTAAATTAGATTTTTTTTGGTTGGTAAAGTTAGAGAAAAAGAAAAAAGAAAGAAAGCAACAAGAAAATCATGTACTATGAGTATTTTAAGAATAATATTAAAACATAATATCATAATAAATATAATTGGATTCTATGTATTTTGTTTTTAGACAATGTTGAAATGTCATAAATATTGGCATTACATAATCTATATAATATATAATGTATAAAGCGAATATTTTATTTTAGTGTGGTCTATTTTTCTACTATTTTTACTTTTGTATTATTGTGTAATTTATTTAATAACTTTCTATTATTAACTTCCACATAACTTATTATTATTAACTTCCACATAACTTTTTATTATTAACTTTTACATATTATATTTTTTTAAAAATTATTTTAACAAAAAATATCGTTTATCTTTTTATGTGCATTAAAAAAGCAGACAGACGGACACGCAAGTGTCTGCTGAACGCTAGTAAATATAATTGAATTCTATGTAAATAATGTTGAAATCAATGTGATAAAGATTGACACGCTTCCTTTAATTTAAATTCTATATACTCATATGATAATATGCGAGATTTATTTGATAATGATCTTTTATTATAAATTTATAGTTGTTATAAAGTTAATAGGAAATAATACACTATAAGAGTATATAGATGAATACGAGAAAGTAATATTTTATTTTTCTTCTCAAAATTAACATTGTAACATGAATCACCAATAACAAACAATTAATTTATAAGAGTTAGGAAATATAGAAATATTAAACAATTAATTCATTGAAGTTAAGGAATATAGAAAAATTAGATAAATGGGCATTCATGTTTATATGGATATTTTTCATAACACTTCCCCTTAAATGTCTATTGAGAATATGCATCGTCAAAACCTTACTAAAAAACCTAGTGAAAAAAAAAGAGTACAATATTCTTTTAAGATGAATTTATTTCTCCCCCTCAGCTAAACAATTACTTTTGCGACGATGAAGTACCACTCTTTTAAAAATCATGAGTGAAAAAGAACTTTAGAGAAATGTGTTTTGTTCAATCTCTTTTAATGTAACTATTTTTCAATTGAGCAATGCATGCAGTATTATCTTCATATATGGTTGTTGTATTTTTACAGAATCCAAACACAAGTCTCTTGTACATGCTGAATTAGGGATCTCAATCAAACATATTCTCCACTTGTCTCATGTAGCACTAAAAATTCTGCATGATTAGATGAAGTTGCTGATATAGTTTGTTTCACATATCTCAAAGCAATAGTTGTTCTACAACATGTAAACAAATAACCACTACTACAAATAATACATTTCATGACGGCGATTTCACCTCAAAAAATGAAAAGCCGAGGTCAAATACCTAGACTCACCTTTTTTTTAAATATACAATATATTTCGTCAGTTATTTAGAAAATTGATGACACATTTTTTAATATTTTATTTTTAATTTAAAAGTACACTACTTTACCCCTCAGTTTTCTTACCAATCGAGGTGAGTGAATATGTTTCTCTAATATATATATATATATATATATATATATATATATATATATATATATATATATATATATATATATATATATATATATATATATATATATATATATATATATATATATATATATATATATATATATATATATATATATATATATATATATATATATATATATATATATATATATATATATATATATATATATATATATATATATATATATATATATATATATATATATATATATATATATATATATATATATATATATATATATATATAGCTTTAGCTTGTAGCATTAAGTTTCATTTGTCTAAACAACACAAACAGAACCCTAACGAAGAGACATAAACACATACCATCTTCAATACGAAGATGTTATGTTTTTAAGGCTCTTTCTTCTTCTTTAGAGATCCAAATCATTTTCTAGTACGTCAAACAACAATACTAATATTTTTGTCATATTATTTGTGTTGTTGTTGTTATTGTTGTTGCTGTCATTGTTGTTGTTATTGTTATTGTTATTATTATTGTTATTGTTATTGTTGTTGTCGTTTTGTTGTTGTTGTTGATGTTGGTATTATTGTTGTTGATATTGTTGTTGTTGTTGTTGTTGATGATGATGTTGTTACTGTTGTTGTTACTGTTGTTGTTGCTGCTGTTGTTGATATTGTTGTTGTTGTTAAGATCCGAAAGCCTAAAGTTTTTTTTTATTGTTATTGATGTTGTTTTTGTCGATGTTGTTGTTCTCGTTGTTGAGACGCTAAACCCTAGAGGTTGTTTTGTGATGTTGTTGTTATTGATATTGTTGTTTATTGACATTGTTGTTCTTGACATTGTATTTGATGTTGTTGTTGTTTTCTTGTTCTTTCTAGTTGAGTTTATTATATCTAAAGTCGATTGTTTGTTTCACTCACCCCTCTTTGAACATGTAATCTAGTCAATTGAGTTTGGAAATTATCATATGCAAACTTATGTTGTATATGAAATTTATCTTACACTGATTAATGATTTTTTAGCATTTTGTAACTCATTGTTCATCTCACGCTGTTTTATTTTTAAAATCTCTCTAATACTTCCAATGTTTGTTCAATTTTCTTCCATATTTGTTCATTTTTCAAAGCATCAAATTTTATGCTTTCAAAATGAATTAGTAGAAAAAGAAGTGTTGAATAAAGAACTTGAAACATTGGAGAGATTTCAACCATAAAATAGTGTGAGAAGAATGATAAGTTATTGAATGCTTCAAAATCATAATTAATGTAAAATGTTCTTCATATATAACACAGTTGTTCGTATAATTATTTTCCTAACCAATTTTTAGAAGTTATATGTTCAGTATTAAGTTTAGTGAAATAAGCAATCCACATTATATTTAATAAACTCAAAATTATTTTACCCCTCGGTTATATTAGATAACCGAAGTGAAAATGTGGTATATCCTTCGGTGAAATGACAAAACCGAGGGGATGTGTGTTTTTGCCATTTCAAAATTCCAAAAAAGTATCCTTGGGGATCAAACCCATGACCATTTCACATATTCGTCGGTTATTCTAAAATCGAGAGGTAAAGTGTGAACTTTTCATGACGCCCTTCGTTACCTCGCCCTTGTAGTCGGGGTTAAACGCATTTCGTGTCTAACGTCAAATGTGATTTTTCTAATAGTGAACCTGTCTCTGATATGCCATTATGAGAATCTGACAAGTAACCTGCATCAGTATAACTTGTTAATTCGAATTTGAATACTTTGGAATAAAACAAACCCATGTCCATGGTACCTCTAAGACAACGAAGTATATGTTTGACTTTGTTCCAATGTCTACGTGTAAGTGATTAACTATATCTTGCTAATAGATTGACAACAAATGATATACCAGGATGTGTATAATTAACAAGGTACATCAGTGCTCCAATCGCACTGAGATATGATACTTTAGGACCAAGTTATTCTTCATCCTCTTATTTAGGTATAAAGGGATCTTTCCCCGCATCCAATGATCTACAACCATTAGAGTAGATAATGGTTACAACTTGTCCATATAGAAGCGTTTTAACACTTTTGCTATATAACCTTCTTAATGTACAAATATTCCATTGCCCAAATTCTCAATTTGTAAACCTAAACATAATTTTTTTCCTAGGTCCTTTATCTCAAACTCTTTCTTTAAGAAATTTATAGTTTTCGGAAGCTCTCGTGAGTTCCAATAATATTTATGTCATCCACATAGACAACTATTATAGCAAATTCTTTTATAGATCTTTTCATGAAAATACAAGGATAGATGGAGTTATTTGTATATCTCTCCCTTATCAAATACTCACTGAGATGATTATACCACACATGTCTATATTGTTTTAACCCATAGAGAGACTTGTTTAATTTGATAGAGTAACTTTCTCGAGATCTAGAATTATATACATATGGTATATTGAACCCTTTAGATAGTTTAATGTAAATTTCAGTGTCAAGTGAGCCATACAAATAAGTTCTTACAACATCCATCATGTGCAAATTAAGTTCTTCACGTGCTACAAGACTTATTAAATATTGGTGGAAAGACTTCGCTTTGCCTTCTTTGTTGAG